GAATTCTGATCACTGCAATAATCAGCCATATCTCCAAAGGATAAACCTATTGCTTACCTTCCTGCATCTCAAGGTGCAGAAAGATATATATATATATTTTTGGTCATGGCCACTGTATGTATTAATTTTGCTTTATCTCGGTCCTGCCCATTAACTGTGGATGTCCCATGGAGCTCCATCCTGGTCCCCTCTTCTTTTTTCACTCTACACTATTTGATGTGGTGATCTCATTAGCTCCCATGAATTAAATTATTATCTCTACGCTGATGATTTTCATATCTACTAATCCAGCCCTATCCTCTTTGCTGTCCTTTAGTCAGTAACCTTTCTAGGCCTCCAGTCTCACATCTCCAATTATCCATTAAACATCTCAAACTGAAAGCTCAGTAGATGTCTTAAAGTCATGTCCAAAACTGAACTATCTTTCCTGCGCACCCTGTGCAGATACCCCTTCCCCCTTCCTAAATTCCCTATTACTGTTGAGAGCATTGCCATCCTCCGGGGCATCCAGGCTCACAACCGGGTGTCATCCTTGACATCTCTCACATACTCCTCCTCTCCCCTGATACCGCTGTTGTTGTTGTTGTCATGTTGTTGTTCAGTCACGTGACCCCGTTTGGGGTATTCTTGGCAAAGTTACTAGAGTGGTTTGTCATTTCCTTCCCCAGCTCATTTTACAGATGAGGAAGCTGAGGCAAACAGGGTTAAGTGACTTGCTCAAGGTCACAAGGCTAGTAGATGCCTGAGGTTGGATTTGAACTCCAGTCTTCCTGACTTCCGGCCCTGCACTCTATCCACCATGCCACCTTGTTGCCCTTCTGATACCACTACTTTGATACTACTTTCCTCTCATCTCCCCGCACCTAGACTTTTGAAACAGCCTTTTGGTTGGTTGCCTTGCCTCAAGTCTTTCCCCACTCCAGTCCTTCCTCCACTCACCTTGTCATAGGGATCTTCTTAAAGTTCATTTCTGATCATGTCATCCTTCCTACACAATAAATCCCAGTGACTCCCTACGATCAAATAGCAAATCCTATTTTTCATTCAAAGCTCTTTATAACCTAACTCCTAATCTTACACCGCAGTCCCTCCTAGGTACTCTTCAATCCAGTGACACTGACCTCCTTACTGTTCCTTGAACAAGACACTCCATCTCCTGACTCTGGGCATTTTTAATGACTGTCCTCTATGTCCAGAAGGCTCTCCCTTCTCATCTCTGCCTCCTGGCTTCCCTGGCTTTTAAGTCCCAGTTAGAATTCCACCTTCTTTAGGAAACCTTTCCTGGTCCCCATTCATTCTAGTATCTTTACCCTGTTGATTATTTTCCATTTATCCTGTATATAGCTTGTTTGTACATAGTTGTTTGACTGTTGTCTCCCCTACTAGACTGTCAGCTCTTTGAGGACAAAGGCTATCTTTTGCTTTTCTTTGTATCCCCAGTGCTTAGCAAGGTGCCTGGTACATAGTAGGTGCTTAAGTGTTTATTGACTGATTAACTTGACTATGCTTATTTGTTGACAAGGGATTCTTTTTCTTTCTCTCAAATTTTCATTGTAGGGGAAGTTAGGGGAGAGTTCAAATCTGACTGCAGACACTTACTAGTTGTGTGAGTCTGAGCAATTCACTTTGTCTCTTTATACCTCAGTTTCCTTATCTGTAAAATGAGGATAATGATAAGCACCTGCCTCCCAGGCTGCTGTTCAGATAAAATAAGCTAATATCGGAAAATTGCTTCATAAACCTTAAAACCCTGTATAAATGCTAGCTAGTCATTATTATATTTATTAAAAATGGGCCAAACACTGTGCTAGGCATTGAGGATACAAAGGCAGAACATGAAACAATCCCTACTGTCAAGGAACTGGGTAACCAGGTGATGCTAGTGGATAGAAGTCGGGAAGACCTGAGTTCAAATCTGGCATCAGACATTTACTAGCTGTGTGATCCTGGGCAAGTCATTTAATTGCTGTCTGCCTCAGTTTTCCTATCTGTAAAATGAAGATCATAATAGCCCCTGCCTCCCAGGATTGTTATGAGGATCAAATGAGATAATAATTGCAAAGTGCTTAGCATAGCGCTGGGCGCATAGTAAGCATTATTTCAATTTTAGCTGTTACTTTGGTTGGACTTTGTTAATTAATAATTGGCTCGATTGAAAATTAAGGCAACATTAAAGAGCAACTCACATAGACACTTTCTCTTTGCATCACAGGCCTGTGGCTGAAGCAACAAAAACCTTCTGGACTTCTACACTTGTTTTCCTCTCTTCAGTAGGATTTCAGTAGGGTCTTCATTCCTCCATTGTTTTCCTCTCCTCCCGTCAGAAAGTAGCTTTCCTGATCTTCCTTTTTCACTCCTCCTTTCTGATGTCTCCTGAAGCAGCCCCTTCATTCTCTGGGGTCCTAGAGGCTAAAAATACTCCATAGCCCTTCTTTTTTTGAGGAAAGCCTGTCCTCACCACTCACCTCTCCTTTTTCTCCCCCAAGCTTGTAAGTTACCTGCTCTCTTTCTTTTCCTCTTGCTTCTTATTCATTCATACATTTATTTAGATATCTGTCCCTTCCTTCCTCCCTCCTTTTCTTTCTTTCATTTTGGAGCTTTGTTTTCAGTTAGTCTAAGGGGCCTGGTATTAATTCAGTATGACCAGGAGGGGTACTTATATAAACTGATTCCATCTTCTTCATTTGAAAGCCTGTATTTGAATATTTAAGGGCCAGTGTTAAAAGTATTTTCTTAATTTATAGGCTCTATCCTTGATAAGATTTACATATTTGTTTTGTGCCAGAAATTTGTGCCAGAAATTCCTTGCAAATTATAAACAGTCTTTTGTCTTTCAAGGAAATTAATCTGTGTTTTATTTTGGGGTTTGTTCTATCAACTGCTATATGTGTTTTGGGGGACAAGAGGCAAGCAAGTTGATTGAGAAGGGAAGTTGAAGAATTACCAGGCTCAATCAATGTTTATTAACAAAGGGAAGGTAGGTATACAAAGAAAAAATGCTGAGCTACAGTGAATACGGTGTTGAGCTTGGAGTCAAGGGAGGACTGTGTTCAAATCCCACCCAGCCATAGCAAGGATTTTGAGTTGCAGGACTTAGTTTCACATCTTTCTTCTGCCACTGTGTGGCCTTGATTCTGCTGTCATGGGTCCTAGTTGCCCCATCTGTAAAATGAGGAGACTGGATTAGATGATCTCTAAGATTCCTTCTTGCTCTAATTCTGTGATCAATAATAACAAATAATTGAAATTTATTTAGCGTTTTCAAATTTGCCGAGCACTTTAATTAACATTACCACATTTGAGCTTTGGGATAGCCTTGCGAGGTAGGTTCCATGTCTGTTATTATCCTCTTTTACAGGTGAGGAAACTGAGACTCAGAGAGGTTAACTAACTTCTCCATTGTCATATGGCCAAGAGGAGGAAGTGTCAGGGAGAGGACTAGAACATGGATTTTATTGACACTGAGTTAAAACATGGATTTTTTTTCAATCTAGTCAAGATTTTCCACATTGAAAAAAACCCTCTGTTTTGGGACATATTTGCCAACATTTATGAAAGCATCATAATTTAAATGTTTCATTTTAGAGCATTTGTTGGAACCTACATACCACAGATGATGACAGCTGTTTTGCAATTAGTCATTGGGCTAAGAGAGGCAGAGAACAAAGACTTAGGGAGGACATGAGAGCTGTCTCCAAATATTTGAAAGGCTTTCATGTAGAAAAGGGATTAAATTTGTTCTTTCTGGCCCTGGATGGCAGAACTATTAGCAATAAGGTAGAAGCTACAGTGAGCCAGAGTTATACTTAGTGTCAGGAAAAATGGAGTCCAAAAGTGGCATGGATTGACTCATTGGGTACTTATCAATAAAAGATTTTGAGGAGAGTCTTGATGACTGCTAATTGGGGATGTTATAAAAAAGGGACTTTTGTTCAGATACAGATTGGGTTAGAAGGCCTCAGAGGCCCATTTCAACTCAAGAGATCCAGTGATTCCATAAATCTGAATGAAAACAAAACAAAACAAAACTTTGTTGTAATTGAAGGCAAGCCAAGTTATGTGAGATCACTTTGGGTATCTGTCAATAGGATCAGTCTGAAACATGATTTGTCCCTGAACGAGACTGACAAGATGGGTAGTTCACTGCTCAATAAACAAGTACTGATTCTAATGATAATGCTAAGCCAGATACAAAAACCATCATTTCTCTCTTGTGCAATGGAGTTGCTTTATTATGTCAATCCCTACTGAACATAGGAAGAGGAATCACTGCTGAGGGATTTTTTTTTTTTTTTTTGGCTAGTGGCCCACGTGGGCTAGCTCGTTTGGGCTTGATAAATGAAGACCAGGCTCTCAGGGGTTTCTGACTTGTTTGCTTCTGGGAGAGCGTTAGATCCTTTAATTTCTTGGCTGACAGAAATTTGAAAGAGAACAGAGTGTTTTTTCCCTTCTGTGGGCCTGGAGAATCATATGCCCTCATGCTTTGGCCTTACCATGGTCACATAATGAAACTGCTTGAAAGGAAGAATTTACAGAAGTACTTTGGCTGAACATGTTGAGTCTTTAATAGTCTTATTTGTCATTTAGCCTTGTGTTTTTAATTGTGGGTCTTTTCCCCTCCTCTGTCATTGTTAAAGCATCTTAGGACCTGGGAAGGTCCTGGTTACAAAAACCCAACCATTGCCTGTAATGATGACCTTCAATAACCTAATGATAGAGTGATTTATGAACCATTATTAAACAACAATAATATCAACAGCAACATCAGCAGCAACATTCTAAGAGATGGCAAGGATATTTCAGTTTGATCCTGTGAAAGACTTATTTCACAAGTCGTGTCCTAAATACCCACAACACTCGGGTTTCCAGTTTCCAGTTGGCTTGGTGTGAGATAACACTGTTCATAGCAACCATACTTAAACACCAATAAATAAGAGACTGTACATCTGCTTTTGTGGTCCATGATAAAGCTGAAATGCTCTTGGCTTTCAGTCTCACATTTTATTACAAATTCCTTTTATTTCTTATACCAATAGAAAAGCAAGTATGTAAGTTATTTACAGGCACTACACATTTACATATATTATATACATATAATAAATTTAGGAAAATAATTGGTCAGGAAATGTAATATCTAAGTAGTAGGCTGCAACTGTACATGGTTTACTGTTGTGTCCCTTATGATTATTGCATCATATTGTAATAATAAATACAGTTCTATATTTACAAATCTTATAAAAATCTCATAAATGCATTTTTTCAATTCCAAATTAAAACATCTGATCAAAATATTTCAAACATGCTTATAAAAATAAACCCACCCAACAGCTATTTGTTTTGGATGCCTGGTGGACTAATAACATTCTGATAAAAGAAGCTATGAATTAATCTTGTAACTTCCCGTGCTTCATTATTTTGCTTCTCAAAATATTTTACACATGTATTAAATATGGAAAAGTGGAGAGGGAATGCCACTGACATCAAGCGGTGCAGCCCAGATGGAATGCAGCTAAAAATCAAGCTAAGTGAAAGGATCATGTATCCATGGAGCCGAAGGGGTGTCAGGACTCACTCTCTAGCTTCATGTTGTCTTATTGCCGTAGCTTTTAGCGTTAGTAGGTTTGAGATTCTCATGTAGACTGATTTAATATATGTCTCTACTAATCACCATTCCACCATGCCTATGAACTCAAAACACCTGATTGCTATAGTCTTTAGCTAAAAGCATCCTCCCACCCCAAAACCCCCCAAATCCATTCATTGTCATTTCTATGGATGTCCATTGCCAGCAATGAACTTTGATCCTGAAACCCCAGATTTTGGTACCAGGGATTTAAAGATGAATGAGGCCAGTCAGAAGCCATCTTCCCCTTATTTCCTTGATAATAATTTGAGTTCATTTAGCCTTGGAAATGTTCGTACAGTTCTATCTTACTGGAGGACGAACTGGCTTTTAAACCAGTCGCTAGTGCCTGAAACGGCAAATAGGACTACGTATAAAATGCTCTCCAAATATGGGCATGCTAATAACATTCTGCACTCTAAGACCAGGCAGATTAGTGATCTGAAAGAAGCCTGTTATAAATAGGAAAGGTGGAAGGGACACAGAACTCTCTATGCATAAATCCAGAGAATCAGAATACTCTTTGTCATATCTTATGCTTAGTAATAAAGATGATTTTCGACTTTCTTTCAACCACCCTATAAAGAATTTAAGGCCTTATGGAACCCACTTTGTGGGTCAATGTCTTCTTTTAAAACTCTTTGTAGATGAGTTTAGGGAGAAGTAGATTAAAATTATGGCGAATCCTTGAAGAGCATTTAATTCTTCTATTTGTGGTGTACTGGTAAAAAAAAAAAATCAATTGTTGGTAAAAACAACCAAATTGGCACTATCAGATACCTTCCGCTCATTTTTTATCCCAAATGTCAGTAAGTTTCAATTTTTTTCACACTGATTGAGAGGGGATTTTTTTAAAAATCAAGGTTCTAGTTCAACTTTTTTTTTAAGATACCACTTCTCAGGTACATGGAACAGTTAAAGAACACTGTACCCCTGTCCCACCAACTATACCACCCATCTTCCCCTCTGGGGTTTGCAAATTTTGTAAACATTTTCTCTTTATGTCTTGCAACTCAATTAGAGACAAGGAACAAATGTCACAGATGAAAGACGACGACTTTCTGTCATTGGATAAGATGGTGGTCCTTTTGAACAAGATGTCAGGTCATAAGAGCTGTTGCCACTGGCAAAGGTGACCAAAGCTTGTGTTGAATCACAAGATCGTTTCTCCACATCTTCTGAGTTGATAGAGATCAGACTTGGGTATTTTGATCTTTTCCGCAAGAATGTTTGCTTTCGGAAGTTTCCCATGTCTTCCTTAAAATTTGGATTGAAAAGAATATAGAGAAGGGGGTTGAGACAAGCAGGGAGTGGGACAATCACCAAGAGAATAAACTTAATCACTTCAGGACTGATAAATGTGAGGTTCAGTAAAGAGGAAAAGGACAAGAAAGCCACAGGGCAATAAAGGATGCAATTGGTGAAGAGTAACAGAGCTACGTGCTTCACCATTGCACAATCCCAAATATTTTCTAGTTCTCCCTTTTCCAAACTGCAGTAGAGCTTAGTATAAGTGAGGGTCATCACAAGGAAACAAAGGGAGTTCAGTAAGACCAGAGCTACCATGTAACTGGTAGTACTGGGTTCTCCAAAAGGCAGGGGCAAGCATAGGGGAGACACACCGTATTCACTGCCACTGAGCAGGGGAACTGTAGCGATGGTCAGGGCCAACAGAAAGCAAAGCAAAACTATGGCTTTCAGGCTGGAAAAAGATGCTTTGGTTTCAAATTTTGCAGAACATTTTACAGAGAACCCACGTTCAAGGGCTGCCAGGGTAAGTAGGAAAACAGACGTCTCTGAAGCAAAAATGGACAGAAAACCAGTGATTTGGCAACCTATTCCACTCTCCCACCATGCACCATATTGAGCAAAACTGCCAAAAGTTAATGCATCGACACTAGCCAAGACACCACTGGAGACGCCCATTAGGGTGTTCACCACTGCTATCAATCCAATTAAAAGTTTTATAGAGGAAATATACAGTGGAGATCTGAAGATTGTTGAGGTCACCAAAGCATTACAAACGAAAGCCAAAGACGCGATGGTCCACACTCCGATTCTGATTAACCAGCTACCAAATAGATGTTCACATGGTTTGAAGGGCCCTGAAATGGCAAAAGAGATATTGAAAAAAGCAGATAAATTTGAAATCTTAAGTCCTATATACATGCGATATTGCCTAAAATCAGATGACAAGTCAGTAAAGAACCAGGACTAAAATATAGGTTCCCAGAATCCTTGTCCAGTGCTTCTACACCCACACCTCTGTCTTCAAGAAGCTGAATCAAAGTCAAGTGAACAGAACCAGAACATTGTACACGACACCAGCAATAAAGACTTCTCTGTTCTGACGAACAAATGATCCAGGACAATTCCCGAGGACTCATGATAAAAAATGCTACCTTCCTCCAGAAAGAGAACTGATGAGCTCCGAATGCAGATTGAAGCATACTTTTAAAAAGAATCTTTCTTTTTTTTCTGTCTGTTTCCTTTTGTAATATGGCTAATATGGAAATATGTATTGCATGACTTCACATGTATAATTTATATCAAATTTCCTTCTCAAGGAGGGGGGAGGGAGAGAATTTGAAACTCAAAATTTTAAAAAATGAATGTTTTAGTGAAAAAATTTTTACATGCATTTGGGAAATATTTAAGAAAATAAAAACATATTAAAAAAAAGGTTTGATGGTTGGAGAACTAACCATCCCAGGCCAATATTTCCTTATATAAAAAGTAAGCTACAAGTAGAAGGGAAGTCTGTAGCACATAAAACCTAGGTTAACACTTGATGCTTAGGAGACAGGAACAAAGCAGTTTTTTAATGTATCACCATCAATGTTGTAAACAAATACCAAATGCCTAGTGTTTGTTTGTCTTTCTAATAGTTCATTTTACTCTCAGGAATGAATAATAATAATAGTAGTATTTACATATTGCTCTAAGGTTTGTGAAGCACTTAAAGAATATCAACTCATTTTATTCTCAGCACAACCCTGAGAGGTAGGGGTTTTATTATCTCCATTTTACAGATGGGGAAACTGAGGCAGATAGAACTAAAGTGACTTGCCCAGGGTCACACAGACAGTGAGAGTTTGAGACTCAGGTCTTCCTGAGTCCAAGTTCAACACTGTCAAATATACTTTCCCTATGTACCTAGTACCAATAATGCACTTGACAAGTAGATATTTGGAAGTTGACTTAAATGGTTTAAAATATTTATTGTCTAATAGCTGTGTATAGTCATGTGTATAAATACATATATCAACAACTGTTTTAATGTTTGGCTGTGATTATCTTTTAAAAATGCTTTTCTCTTTATATGATCAGCTATTTAATTACTGTTAGCCGTTACCAAAAGATACCTTACTACTTAGATATAAAAAAATGTCCTTACGTAAAAATCATCTCTTTGAATGAAATATAGCACTGAGGGATAGACACCTACCATCTGAATACAGAAATGGAGTCCAGGAAGAGTAATAGTAATGATCCTCAGTGGATCTCCAGATTTTATTGCCCCAACAAGTTGACACCAAAATGTCATTGGATTCTACAGTGTGACCTTGCCAGGATCAATTCCCAAAGCAGAAGTTCTGAAGTTAATTTTGGGGTCCGACTGTGGTTCTTATCTATGCAAACTGCTTCAGGGTCAGGTTCCTGTAAATTTCTTACCTGGAGGCGGTGAACACTGTACTAAATGATGGACTTTGGTGTCTTCTTCAAAGTCAAGAAGGAAGTCCTCTAAATCACGTTCATCTGTATGGGTGAGAAGTCCCTGAGAGTTTAGTTGAACAATCCCTTCTTTTGGGGACAAGATCATGAAGAAATGAGGCATGAATCCTCTTATTCACTCTTCTCCCTATCCCCTTCTAGAAATCTAAGCATTTCATAAATATTATCTCATTTTATCCTCACAACAACCCTGGGAGGTAAGTGCTATTATTATCCCCATTTTACGACGAAGAAACAGGCAGACAGATTAAGTGACTTGCTCAGTAAATGTCTCAGGAAGGATTTGAAAGGAGGTCTTCCTCACTCTTGGTCCGGCTCTCTATCCAATGTGCCACCCATCTGCCTTTATTTGTATAGTAACTGACTTTTAAAAGCAGTTTATTTTAAGTCATATATACATATGATTTTATCTAATATCAGATAGTAGTAAATCGGTGGTAAGAGACCAAAAGGCCAGACTTCTCTCTCTCTCTCTCTCTCTCTCCTTCCTTCCTTCTTTCTTTTTTTTTTCTTTCCTCACTTCTTTTTTTCTTTCTTCCTTTCTTCCTTCTTTTACTTCCTTCCTTCCTTCTCTGGTTTTGACTTCATAGGGTCATAGATTTAGAACTACTATGGGCCTTAGAGGTCATTGAGTCCAACCCCCTCATTTTACAAATGAGGAAACTGAGGCTCAGAGAGATCAAGTGACTTGCCTAAGGTCACTCGACAAGTCTAAGTTATGATCCAAATACAGTTTTCCTGTCTCTAAATCCAACTCTCTCTCTTTCTCTCTCTCTCTCTCTCTCTCTCTCTCTCTCTCT